CACATTAAAAAAGACACAACCTTCTTCTTCTAAAAGGAACTTTGTTATGCCACAGTTCAAAGGGAGTTGAACCCTTGTGCTTAGATGAAGAATTTCATTTGCTCTCCATCACAGATGGCAAGTTTCTCATGTCCACTAGGATATGGATACAGCTGTTTCTGGAGGTTAACACATTGTGATGTCCTCAGAGTTCCTGCTGGATAATTAAAAAAGACACAACCTTCTTCTTCTAAAAGGAACTTTGTTATGCCACAGTTCAAAGGGAGTTGAACCCTTGTGCTTAGATGAAGAATTTCATTTGCTCTCCATCACAGATGGCAAGTTTCTCATGTCCACTAGGATATGGATACAGCTGTTTCTGGAGGTTAACACATTGTGATGTCCTCAGAGTTCCTGCTGGATATCCAGACATAAAAAAAATTTAAGCTTTAAATATATCTGGCAACCTTTTTATGTTCATATATTTCACAAGTTTTCTTTAAATATCCAGTAAAGCCTAAGATGAATTTAAGGACGAAAGCGTTCTTTTTGTAAGATTCAGGAAGTGCCTAGTCTTCTCCTGCACTTCCTGCACAGTCTTTTTGGATCATTCTTGGTGGATTGAACACAATTTGATGCCTCGAGGCGCATGGAAATAACTCTTAGCGAAGTAGCGTGTGTACTTCTGATTTACTTGTTTGCATCACGAAAACCCCTTGAGATTTCAGCTTGGCCTCCGTGAAGAATGTCTGTGTTTGCTTACAAGCCCTGCTGGTTGGTGACACCTGGGCCTGAGCGAGCGGAGGAGTCCTCTCCAGCAAAGCTCCCGATCCACACCTCAGTTAGTGCCAGCGTGGGGCTTGTCCTTTAGGTACATCCGTGCCTGTGAGATGTGAGTGATGTGTCCTTTGAGAAACGTGAAGGCTTCCTCAGCTCCTTATCCCCTTAAGCCATAAGGGAGGGCTCAAGTCTTGAAGAATGAGGTTTTCTTCATGGTCTCATGCAGAATTCAACATCTGTTTGGTTTTGGTATGTCACTGAACTAAACCTCAGGTTCTGCTTGCTGCAGTGAGGAGGCGGATGAATGGCCTTCAGGGGAAGGACCTGTGAAGTACCAGTGATGTGTAGCCCAGCCCAGAAGGAAGCATGCACACACGTCCTCCTTTTCCAGGTCTTTGGCTTGATCCCCTTTAGGAAGGAGGAGTGTTCCTGAAACAATTCTTACTTGACGTTGATCAATGAAGTAAAGCGAAGAAGTTGGTTGGCAGCTTTAAAGTGAGTCTGCAAGCTAAAGAAAAAAATGTAGGCTTCTCCAGGCTTTTACTCGTGTGCTACTTGCAAGCTGTTTAGTCTTGGCGGTGCCTGGGATTTCACAGCTCGGGCTCCGTGCGTTGCCACATCACCACTCGTGAACTGTGTCAGATGTGGCCTGTGGTCATGTTTCTGTTAAATTGCACATGATGTGGTCTCTGGTTAATTCAGGGACTTCGTGCTTTTGTGCAAGTTGGAGGAGGAGTGACGCTATTTGACCAAGGATAAATGTAGCGCGGTGGGAGCGGATGATTTCCGATTTAGCACAGAGCTTGTCCTTACAGGGTTAAGTTGTCAACATCCGAGCGAATTTGAACCAGCCAAGCCAAAGTTTTTATGGATGTTTCTTTCAATTTTAGCAGCGCCTGCTCGCAGATACTTGTTACCGTCCTCACGTTGCTTCCTTTAGCTGGGCTTCCACAGCTCGGCGTGACTGTGCAGAGAAGCGGGTCAGGGGATTGGGAGAGTTTTTTGACCCGGGTGAGTTCCTAATCAGGTTTACCACGTGTGTGCCTGCCTCCTCCCATCCAGGGAGAAGTGTCACAACTTGAGGGGGTGGAATGAGAGGGTGGGGGATGAATCAGCTTCACTGGCACTCGTGTTTGAAGAAACATCTGCAAAACTGTGGCAGGAGTTTATAGTTCATCCCTGGTTTACATTGTGAAGCCGTGATGTTTTTGATTGAGCACCGAAACCCCCACTCCTCGGCTCAATATACAGTCATACCGTGGCCTGAACGGTTAATTGATGTTGACTAACCCAAGTCAAAGATGGCTCTTCAATGTACAAACCCAAACAAAAAAGCTCCACAACTTTTTGTTGTTCTTTTGGTTTTCTTGAGGGTGATACCAGACTTGGTGTCCGAATACTTCAGAGGTTCTAGTTTTGCAACTCTCGGCATGCTTGCAGGGAACATGAAGCTGATTTCTTGTCATCCTCTGCGCTGCCGAAGTATCTTTTGGAAAATAATGTTTTTCCTTATCTGTCCTTAGCACTGAGAATTGCACAGAACAGGCTGTTCTCTTGGCGGCTGAAGAAGAGGAATGTTAGTGTTCAGTTTGAGGATACTTCTCTCCCATGCCCCCTCCTCCAACATACCCCCATCTGATTTTAAGAGTTCTCTTCTTACTGGTTTCTCCATCTGCTCAAGTGTTTCTGTGGCTCTTCTATAAATGAGACCATCCTGGTCTTCCCTTACAACCCACCTGGCTTTTGTTTTTCAGCCTGGACTATCTCCACTGAGCTGCTTCATGGCGTTGTCCCACGAAGAGTGGTTCTGGCGCAGCTGAAATCATGTATGCTCCCAACTTTGCCACTGCAAAAGATGTTTGTGTAGGTCCATCCTTGGGAACCGGAGTGGCAGAAGCAGTAATACAGAACAGGCTTTGTGTCCAAAGGGCTTCAAATCATGCTTAAATAGCTGCTGTAAGCCAGAGAAGAAAAAGTGGTTCTCCAGGAATATTTAGTGTATGCTTGTCCTGGAGGGAGCTGACAGTGAACCTGAAGGGTGAGAGACACATGCAAATGTGCCTCAGTTACAGCTGGGATATTGGGAGTGGATTAATTGAAATAGGTTTCCTTGTACTGCCATATAATTGATTTTTAGGAGCAGA